TCCCCTATTTTGTCTCTTAGTCACAAAGGCACCAGCCACCCAGCACCCAGGCCAGACACCTGGATCTTACCTGAGACTCCCCTTCTCCCCCAACCCCCACAGGCCATTCCGAAGACTATTTCTCCTAAGGATCTTTAGGTCTACGGGCTGGACACTCCCTCACAACTCTGGGCTCCTAATGCATCCTCCAATTTTGCAGCCAGAGTGATCTGAAAATACACACACACAAAACTCAAGACTCTGGTCATGTCACTTCCCTGCTTCAGTGCCTTCTGTGCCTTCCCATGGTCCTTAGGATAACGTTCTCATCTGTTCACCTGGCTTATGAGGCCTTGAGTTGGCCCCATCCACCCTCCGTAAACTTACGTGGTCCCAGGTTAGAGGCCACTTCTGGGAAGCCCCCCAACCCGTCTTTGTTAAGAGCCCCTGCTCTGGGCACCACAGCCCCTGCACCTCTGGTATCATAGCGCTTCATTCTCAGTGAGATAGTGAGCTTCTGGAGGACAAGAATCAAAACTGCATCCCGTGTCCCACTGCATTCCCAGCGCCTGGACCCTAGCACAGAGCAGATGCTCCCTAAATAATCCTTGCTTCCCAGCAAGATTGAAGCAAAGAATGAAGCTGGGACTCTTGGTAGCTGGGTGACACAGACCCGACAGGCGGCTAGTATTTCTCCGTGGGTCCGTGGAGGGTATGGAGGCCAGAGAGGTTGTGTCACCCCGGCTCCCAGCCGCTGAGCGCCCCCTCCCACCCCCGGCCGGCCCGCAGGGCAGACGGCGCTGAACATCGCCATCGAGCGGCGGCAGGGAGACATCACCGCGGTGCTCATCGCGGCTGGCGCCGACGTCAACGCCCACGCCAAAGGGGTCTTCTTCAACCCCAAGTACCAGCACGAAGGCTTCTACTTCGGTGGGTGCCGCCCTAGCCCGGGGCGGGGAAGCGGGGCGGGGTGGAGTGATCGGGAAGGCGGTGCAGGGAGAGTACGCCCCGCCCCATGACCTCTGACCCAAGAGGAGCTGGCGGGCAGAGGGCTGGAGACCCTCCTGCCCATCTCTTCCGCCTCAGAGGCG